TCGATGATTATCACTTATAAGCTTTCTCACATGAAGAAAAGTACTGAAAAAAACTCCTGATATTTCCAGGAGGAGCTGTATGTGTGAACACAAAATATTTCATTCTGACTTCACTGGAGTTTCTCCTGTCACACCACTCGTATTTTTTCCGCAGCAAGTTCGAGTGAGCTGAACACAGCAGGATATTCTCCGGAGAATTAACCTTGAGCCAATGGGAGGGGGGGAGTGACGTTTATAACCTGTGACTGCTGCACGGTGCATAAAGTGTCTGCACACAACCACTATGATCTCTGCGCACGTAATTAAACATCTGCATTACGTTTTCTGTTCGCCGGTATGTTCTTCTCCGATCTTCTGTTGATAGTGTGGTTCCGTTGATCTACAGGTAGCATCGATATAAAGGCAAATATTCTCATTATAGCAGATTTGTCCTCTACTTCCATCTCGCTTTTTTTTTTACATCACGACATATCTTAGAGAACTCACAGTAACAAGGCTTACAGAGCACTTCAACACATCGTCCCAGTAAATATAGTGATTAGATAATGAATTAGTGTGGTATGAATAAAACAGGCACTATCCTGTCTCACTGGAGTTTTAAATGAGAGTTGAAGAAACCTTTAAGAGGTGTTATAACACTAATATAGCTCTTTTTTCTCCAGCTGATGTCCACTGCATCATGCATCTTATCGGGTTTCATGAAGACATTCACCAACAGCACATTAAAGAGCTGCCAGAGCAATATTATTGGTTATTGTGTTTTCCTTTATTTTTACATTTATATTATGAACTAAACTATACTATATATATATATAGATGTTGATACATGATTTAAATGTAGTCAACTTTGACACGGGTACAGTGTGAGATGACATTCAAACGAGACATGTGTATGCCTGAACAAACATAAATCGGTGATCCTTTCACATCCAGAACAACTGAGCTTACAGTGTAACATGGCTTTGTTTTAGGCCATTGTCAACAAGTAATGGACCCACAATTTAAGTAAGGCTGCAAAATTGAGAGGTAGTTAATAAACTACCATTCATTGTCTATACCGCGTTTCCCGTTCGGTGTCACAGGAGGCCCAGCTGTCATTGGGCGAATAGCAGGGTACACCTTGGACTGTTCTGCTGCTGCTGCACAGGGCTGACATATAGAGACAGACAACCATCCCTGACAGGGATTCGAACCAGAAACCTCTTTGCTGTGATGTTACAGCGCTAACCACTGGTAACTGCTTGCTCTGGCTATTTTTATGTCTACAAGAAAATATTGTAAAATAGTGATTGCTTGCTATTCAAGTGTGTAGGTATCTAAGTTGATATCATCTGGTCTGGTGGGACAGGAACCCTCATGCACATGCATGCTTTAAGAGCAAAGAAAATGCAGAGGCCCCAAAATACGCTTTATTTTTAAGAACAAACGGGGCAATGATGTCATCACAGGTTATCTCAGCCTGAGTCAAGAGACTGATTTCCTTATAAAGTGGTGGAATCAGCCCTGTAATGCACAAAGAATTAGGCCAGATATTGTATTGGCCAGATTGTATTTAGTTTCTGGATTTTTGCTGCCAAGGTCAGGCTATCAGTTTAGAGGCAGCAGTCCATCTGAGGTTATCTAATTCCCCTGTGGATTTCTGAGCTGGCAGGTTAACCTGTGGCTGGCAAACGTGCCTTTTTTCACTCTGACCTTCCATTGCTGTGTGGGTATCTCTCGCCCCAGCCAGTGATCTCTTCATCACTTATCTGCTCTTCACCTACCTCCAAGGCATTTTCTGTCTGTGCCAGCCTCTGTACGGTCTCTCCCCTCGCCATGGAGAGGACGCTTTCACAGTGAGCAAATCCATCTTTACTAATCCTCCACTTTTATTCTTCCTCCTTGCTCGCAACTTACTTCAACAACACTTCCACGGACGTCTCCATGGAGCTTTCTGTCATTACAATCTTGACTTCTTCCCCCTTTTGCAGCCAAGTCCTGATTGTCTCCCTGGTGCTGTGATTACACCTTGTTTATCACTGTCGCCTTACAGAGCCATTATTATCTCAGCATAATAATCATCCAGCCAGATATCATGATCAGAATCTCAACAGTTCAAAACCTTTCAGTAAATTGCCCAGCATGCGGCCCGAAGAGATTCACAAAGAGGTGAGGTGTCTTTAGCAGAGACAAATAAATGATGTGGGCTACTCATGCATAATGCATAATACATCGGTTTCCTCCTACTTAATGCAGCCCTCTGAATAAAAATCACAGTGACAGGTATAATCAAAGTGGCTAGCCTCCCTATGTGGCTTTGACAGGTCCGTCATATTAAGGCATTCCAGCATGTGACATCTCCTTTGAGAATTAGAAATCTATCAAGAAGGACGGAGGGAGTAGTTGTCCCACTTTTGTCTTCACACATCTCTTCCTCCGTCTCTTGGTCTTCACTGAGCGAGTTTCACTAGGTTTAATATCACACTGTCACAATTCCCTCTGTTGTCTGAAGATGATTCTCACTTCCTCGATGAATGACGTCTATGCTATTCACAAAAACCTGTCACAGGAGACAGGGTGGAAGGCAAGCCGCATTCACTACTTATTACCATATGACCCTCAGTCACTCTCTGTCCCTTCACAGGACACCGTCAGCAGCACACGATGCTCCACTGCAGATCACTGACTGGGGAAGAGGCTTGTGTCTGACTGGTGCATTGGGGATTTCAGTGAAGCAGAGATTGGATGGAAGAGGGGGGGGGGGAAGTGAAAGATTGTAGGCAAGGCACGAAACGGAGGAGAGCTACTCTTTTGGAATTGCTGTTGATTAAAAGTGGCACATGAGTTAGATTACATGGCGGAAAATGATTGACAACATGTGAGATAAAGGGAAGGCGGGAAGTGTGTCGGGAGAAGGAGTGAAATAAGGGACAAGGTGAACAGAGATGGTAGGGGATGGCTCGCTGTCAAATATGATAGAGTAGAATGAAAGCTGTCAAGTGGAGCTAAAGGCTCGAGATATTTTCCATATGGATAGCATTATTTGAGCTTCACTCCTACAGGTGCTACTCCATAATCAAGTTCATACTATTAAAAAAAAAGCAAGTAGGATGAATCAATATCATATTGCATATTGATTATTAGGGCCCGACTTTATGTGTTTTTTTGGTCCGATATTGATATTAGGGAGAGAAACAAAACTGATACTGATATATTGGCCGATATCTTTCTTGTAGAGATGGATAGATACGTATACATTATTGTGTTCATCTATCATATGCAATTATCATACACATGTGGAAAAGATATAAAGTGTAACACAGACAAGATGGTCACTCAACTGGAAAGTAACTGAGCATGTACATGCATCACAGCTCGACTCTCTGGAGAGTGATAATGCTGGTTGTTATCCATGTAGCGCCCTCTGCTGGTGACAGATATGCTAGTGTAATACAATGTTACTTCAAAAATGCTATTTGTCTGGTGAATACATTTATTAAAATCGACGCATATCTGCAATTAAATTAGCAGAGCCTGACCGATATGGGATTTGTGGGTCTGATATCATTATCAATATTAGGGAGAGAGAAAAAAAATCGGATATCGATATATTTGCCGATATCGTCCATTTTTATCTTCTTCTGAGCTTGTATAGCCCTTTTCTAGTCTTCTGACTACTCAAAGTGCTTTTGAAAGTGAGGTTAAGTGTTTTTCACATCATAAATGTTGCTTCAGGAGCTGGGGATCGAACCCTCGACCTTCCGGTTGAGAGATGACAACTCTACCAACTGATGCACAGCTGCCACTAAAACGTATCCAACACGAATAGTCACTGGATACGCTAAAATCAGGCAACTGATCGATCGGACTCTACTGATTTTATTGTATTGCATGAAAATGAATACAGTACCTGTAAGAAAAATAGAGGACATGTCCAACACAGGACAGGACAACAACCCATTCCAGTAAGGTAGCATGACTAAGGAGCTTATAGAGTACACTGGAAAGAGGCAGGAGAGGAACTATGTCCCTAAAATACTCTGTCAATGTGATTCTCAATGATTCCGGTGGCGCTGTCCTGCTTGCGACCCGGATTCATGTGCTGGAAGCAGCTGAAAGTTTGGCAGCTCTTTGAGTCCAAGACAATAAAGTGTATTGCATCGTAAATTGCCCCCATCCGATCATCCAGATACAGCTATCACTATTCCTATTCTAACAACAAGAAGTACTTTTCTTCTTTTATTTTGACAATTTGAATCAACGCCCTCCAGCAAACTCTAAAGATTGGAGTTCTACTTGCCGAAAACTTGCCTTGGGGAAGAGTTTGTCCAAAAAGTTAGGTGATTAAAGTCAAACAACAGAAGAAAAGTAGATACAATCAGTTAAAATACTCTGGATCTATGAAACAAGTTGTAAGACCTCATCCTGGCACATTCCCTTAAAGTGGCCAGCTTGGAAACATCCTTGATTTTACACGCGCTCCCCAGGGAAGTGATCCAATTTTCTTGTTTTTAAATGCGTCACAATTGTCTGATATCCCATCATACCCCAGGAGACTGAATTATGTAATTATGTATGATGTCATTGCAGGCTTACTTGACTTTTCTTTATGCTGTGTACATACATAACAGACACAGACCAGTTTCTTTATTCTATATCAGGACATAGTTGTTGTTACGTCTGTTCACATTGGGGAACTTGAGCTAAGGTAAAGCATAATCCTTTAAACCTTTACTGTGCAGCAGTCTTTGCTGCTGATTACTTACTTACGTGGGATTATCTCCACTTTTCTACACTTTTTAGAGGGTTTAAAACACCTCCAGATCCCCTAACGCTGCTGGGTACAGCAATTATAAGCCAAATATCATGCTCCACTAAAGAGAGGATTAATAAGCTTACATAGACAAAGCCAGGAGTCAGCAGGTGTTACCACTGATAGTGATTCCTGACCTGCTGTAAGGCAGGATATATTGTAAATCCAGACCGTCTTTGAAGCTAATGCCGCTAAAGCACTATGAAGCATTACTTAAGGAAGATTAGGTTTTTGATAGCTTGTAGTTACCTGCCCGTGGTTCCACTGTGCGGTTACCATTTTGGTCCATGAAGATAAACCTTCCTCCCGTGAAGTCAGAGCCGTAGTCAGACAGGTAGAGCAGGGATGTGTAGTCAAACGAGCCATAAGTCACCTGCGACAAAGCGAGAGAGGAGAGAGGCACCTGCATTATAACGTGGATCTCTCCTGTCCTGTGATTTTTCTAAACACATAACGTTTACAATGTGTGTGTGTGTGTGTGTGTGTGTGTGTGTGTGTGTGTGTGTGTGTGTGTGTGTGTGTGTGCATGCTGTCTCAGCTACTCTTGTTGGACTATTCATTATTTTCCTCTCACATGGGATGCCTTGTTGCTGACACTTCACCTCAACAACTCCCCTCACAAGACTTTAAGACCTGATTAATTATAAGTGATGGGGGGCATACTTGTAATTCACACTGGTGCAACTGTTTATGTAACCAAACGGATATTAGTCTCCAGGCGGGACTGCGATCCGGAGCGAAAATCCCTTCATGCAAAATGCACTGCGCTGTGGCAAGGAAAGTTTATTTATGTCACACATTGCAACAACAAGGCAATTCGAAGTGCTTCACACAAAACATCAAAAAGCATCATGACAGAGGAAAAGGGAAACATTAAAATAGAACATTTAAAAATCACTGAAATTATTCAATCTGGAAATATGTTCAAATAAAAATAATTCAAATTAAATGAATTGAAATGAATAAAGTTAAAATAAAAAGAGTTAAAAGTTACAGTGCAGAGTTAAAATTTAAAATCTTATTAAAATTGTTTAATGAAAGGCAGCTGTAAACAGGTGTGTCTTTAACCTCGATTTAAAAGAGCTGTGAGTTTCAGCACACCTGCAGTTTTCTGGAAGTTTGTTCTAGATATAAAGGAGCATAGAAACTGAACGCTGCTTCTCCATGTTTGGTTCTGACTCTGGTGACAGAGAGCAGACCTGTCTCAGACGACCTGAGCGGTCTGGATGGTTTGTAAATAATCAGGAGGTCTCTAATGTATTTTGGCCCTTAATTATTAAGCGTTTTATAAACCAGCAGCAGGATTTTAAAATCTATTCTCTGACAGATTGGGAGCCAGTGTAAGAACCTCAGAACTGGACTGATGTGATCCATTTTCTTGGCCTGAGAGTGGCCTGAGTTTGAGCAGCGTGTAGCTTTAATGCAACATCAAAGTGAGAGGAGACAAGGAACAAGAGAATCAGTCTTTTCAAAGAGTCAAACAGTATTTTACACTGAGAGTGCTCTCATTTGACATACCTTAAAAGAAGAAAACAAAGTGAAATGCTGAGTGTTTCGTGACTCTTTGGATCAACCTGCTTTGAGAACAGTTCTTTCATTTCTATTTGCAAATGTTCAGACTGCATAACAACTTTACAACATTCATTTTTCCAGAAGATTGCCTCTCTCTGCATCAATGCCTGATTCACCAGCGACTGCCTTTTCACTGAAACCTCAGACTGATTCATTTGTTCTGGCCATATAAAACAGTAAACTGGGTTTTAATTTACAATATGAGACCGAAAATGAGAGTCATGCAAACAACTATGGAGGAGAAAGTGAGAAAAAAAAAAACATGTATAGAGAAGCCATAAAGGCTAAGAATGCATAAAGTCGTTTTGTGTGCTCAGCTCGGGCCCCCAGGGTGCAACAGGTTCATTTCACCACATCACGTATCAGGAGCAGCTTTATAATAATGTACTCCCAGCATTTATGAAGAGTGAAATGTTTGAATTGAAATGAGATTTTTATTCCAGTACACAGTGTGCTAGACTTTGTTAGAGAAAATGGTAAATGGACTAGAGCTTGTTTAGCACTTTCCTCATCTTCTGACTACTCAAAGCTCTTTTAACACTGCAGGTCACACCTACACACTCACACACTGATGACAGAGGCTGCTATGTACTGAGACAATCAGAGTAACTGATCCCATTCATACACATTTCATATGCCTCTGAGAGGCTTAACTTGGGGTTAAGTGTCTTGCCCAAGGACACAATGGACATTTTACTGCAGGAGCTGGGGATCAAACCCCAAACCAGACAAGAGATGACTGACTCTACCAACTGACTGCTGTTAATGTGCGCCCCATATACGCCCCAAGTCCTCAAGAGCAGGCCAAGTTGTGGCTTCTTTCCCACATGTTGTTCCCCACTCTCTCTCCCTGGCTTCTGACTCTATCTCTGCCCTACCACTCAACATTTTTTTTGTTGGGATTTTATCAATGAAAATAATTCAAATGAATGCTAATTCTTTACAGAAACAACTGCCTTAATGCATTTAAAAGCTTAGAATAAGACACAAAGCATTCAGATACTGACGCAGCCTCTAATTCTTCTTGTATCTATCCTTGAGACAATTTCAGTCTCATTATGTAGTGGCACTCCGTCTCTTTCTTCGTACCACTTGTTGGAGTCAACTCACAGTAATTGCAACGCAAGTGCAAAGACAGGACAACTTTCCTTCATTTGAAATGGTTTACTGGAAAACCTTCAAAGTAAAATACAGGTTATACGCACTGTCAAAAAAGTGTGTAGCTTCCTTCAATATCAGACGCCAAACTGATTAAGTTACATCCGCCACAGCTTTAACTATGCAGTGATGCCATAACATAAAAATCTGAACAAAATTGGAAATAACCTTTTCATCATTTATACATGACTAAGTTATGTGTTTTAAACATTATGAATGGACATGAAATTACTATTATCAGATTCTAATAATTTTTAACTAGATATTTATATTCATTCAATTATTTGCATATTGGCTGTTACACATTAAATGCATTTACTTTTTTTTTTTTAACTGGTCAGGACTCAAACACTTAAGGCAAATGTCTCAAGAGCTGACCAAATGAAGACAAAATCACTTAGAATGAAAAGACAAACCATACTTTTTTCTGATTTGCGTAGATGTTAATCTACCAGATCAGGAGGAGTGAGTGAATCTGAGTGAATCCTTACTTAGCGGGTAAATCCTGTCAGGTCCTGAGCAGAGACACTATCTTTGATATTTGTGTTTTAACCCATGATTCAGTTTTCATTAAGTAGACAGTGTGTCCCCGCCATGATCGAGCTCAAAACACACTTTCCCCGCTGTCACACTACAACTGGTGCCATGACACCTTCTCAGTAAAATGATCGATGGGGAATAAATTTACCACTTAAGACGTCAGGGGCCATTTACATTTAAATGAGACTTGGGTTAGCCAATTAGCCCCAAAATGGCAGCGGAGACAGATGGGGGAGAAAAGTGGGTCTTCTCAGATTACATTTTTTCCCCAGCTGTCGAGGGCAAACATGAGGCAATGAGGCGACAAATATCAATATGGATGAAGCAACAGCAAACTGTATTTCAACAAATACCACAAGCAAAGTAAACATGTGCTGCTAGTCTCTTCTGATCATTTAGCGAGTGAGAACTACTCCTCAATATTGACACAGATGTTTCAACTGTGTTATGAGTGCCAATAAAAAGGCCTTTCAGTCAGTTTAATCTTTCCAAAATATTCAGGGAAGTCAGTGGTTTGACAAGAAATGATTAAATTACAGCGATAATAATAATCCCTCTGATAGGACCATTAAGAAATATTAAAGAGGACATATTATACCCCTTTCCAAACTTTTACAAGTGTACCATGAGGTCTAAATGAAACATCTGTGCTGTGCTTTGGTCAAAATATAACATGAATCAAGCAGCAGAGGAGGTTTGTGACCCTGTATAGACCAGCTCTCTCAGAGCGCTCTGTTTTGGTGTGTATGTCTCTTTAAAGGTAATGAGCCCCCCCCTGAGTTTTCCCTGTACACATCACTCCTTTGATAGCGAGAATTAAGAATGGCTGACCTGTGCAAAAGTTTTGCTCTAGGCTGGGGGTGGAGTCCATGGGTGGAGATACGAGGGGAGGGGAGGGTAATTTTTACCAGAATCCCACTGTGACATCACAAGGAGAGCAAATTTGAAACAGAGCATTTTTCTCTGTGTTGTAAGACTTCTGCAGACCACAAACAAAGGACTGGATGGATTTATTTCACAGTATACACTCAGGTTACCCAAATATATGTTCAAAAACTGTCAAAGTGGATTTTTCATAATATGCCCCCTTTACAGAAACACCATGCACCACTGAACCCTCTGATTAGAAGCATTCCTGCCAAAGAGTAGAAATGTTTTATGTAGTTATCGATGCATTTCTCACTTTATAAAATGATAAAGACTCTTAAGTCATTCTCCCAAGAGACAGACACCCTGTTTGTTCCCAACATGACTCGAGGTCTTCTGTCAATCCCAAGGCAACTTGAATGTCTCAACAATGAACAAACAGCAATGTGAAACACTGAGATTAAAGCTGTGACCAAAATGTCCGACTGTATGAATATTTATACATAAATATAAAAGATGTATGACATGAACCGTTCTCAAAACTGAACAGAGGAATGGGCATTAGGAATTTAGAAAATTGCCCTGAAGGGGAGTATGACTTGTTTTAAAATGTACAATAAAAACTGTTTCATGATCTTAAATTTGCAGCAGCTCAACGTCTGCTCTGATTCTTTAGAAGAATGTGAAAGAACGGACGGGATCTTCCGGGCGCCTCAGACCGGAAATTAGGAAAACCATCTAAAATTTGTTTCAAGACTTCTTGAAGATAGTGATGACGATTCTCTGTGGCATTACTTCGGTTAGAAGAAGACTACAAGCCAGGCTATGGAAAGACACTGGGAAGCAAATCAAGCCAACATTGAGCTATAGTGCACAATCTCTTTTTCTAAGTGTCTATGATCTGAAATTAACTTGATCTCATCATCCAGCATTTTTTTAAGGTTTATTATTGGGCTTTTTATGCCTTTATCAACGAGAGACAGGACAGTGGATAGACAACAGTAACAGAGAGAGTGTTTGTGACATGCAGGAAAGGAGCCACAGGTAAGATTTGAACCTGGGCCGCCAGCTTGGAGCCCCACTAACCACTAGGCTACTGGTGCAGGACCCTCTATACTTTCAATAAAGCTTATAGTTAGGCTTAGTGCTGGTGGACTTCACACACTGAGCTCCTGTCTCTCTCTCCTTCTCCCACTCTCGTAATATGTCTTCAACTGCTATAATAAGCATGATCAGTCCTCACTGTTTCACTGCCATCATAGTTCTTTATGTTAATACCATTTTCACTATCTTTGTAGCTGTAAATCAGTTTTCTTCATTGTTGCTGCTGCTCTGTTTGTCCCTATCCTTCTTCCTGAATCTCCCTCTATCCCACTCTCCAAGCCCATCACAGATTCTGCAGATGGCTGTTCAACATGATTCTGTCTGCTCGAGGTTTCTTCTTGTTAAAATGCAGTTTCTCCTTGCCACCGTTACTTTGCTAAATGTTGCTTAGTGCTGTGCAAATGGAGGATTAAAGGAGCAATATGTAACTCTGTCACCTAGTGTCTAAAATGGGTACTGCAGCCCAAATTCAAAACATTGGAGAGAGCTCTCCCCCCCTGCCCCCTCCTCCCTAGAGTCGATGTGCAGGTAAGTTGCCATGTTGCAGACACAGTAGCTTCAGTGTTTAGCCAGCTTTCTGTGTTCTAACCTCTCTTCATTTTTCACAAGCATCTCCAATATTGATCCTAGTTTGAGCACGTTTCTGCTCGTGGAGCTTAATAGAAAAACGCAGAGGCTTTTTAGGTTGGACAGAATCAGTTATATCTGAACCAGTTCACTTTCCCGCTTCCATCGCTGCAACCCTTGTTAGTTTGCTGTTTTCTTGACAAACTGATGGGCGTCCAAAACGGCCGTGTGGGGGGGGGCCTTAAAACCTTATTTTCTCCAATTCCCATGACCACGTAGATATTTTTCTCTTTTACAAATCGTATTTTCCACTGCAGAATACATGATTATTTTGCTTTGCAATACATTTCGGACTTTGCAATATATATTCATATTCTTTACTTGTGGCAAGCTACTTTTTTTTTTACAGTGAAACAAACATTAACTGCTGTAAAAAAAAATCTACATTTACATTGTACCTCAGTTGAATACAAGTTGTTTGTAGCTGTGTATACCTGTATGTTTGTGCACTTATGGTGAAGCATTTATAATTTCTTTGTACAGTTGTATAATGACAATAAAGGCTTTTTATTTCGATTTCACTTGTGTGAAAACTTTATCAAGTTTGTTTCACCAACACTGTAAATGTGATTGAAGATCAGTTTCTTAGAGCCTCTAAACTCTTGATACTGTTTAATGTAAAATAAATAATCATTTTATTCTTAAGGACATGATGTGCTTTAAAATATTACGTATTGAAACAATGACGACCTCAGTGAGTAGTTGTGGAAAGAATGAAAAAGAAATCTGAGAGAGGAATTCAAATCCTTTGGTGCTCAGTCTGGTGAAGTCTCCAGCCTTTTAAAGTTGAGTCAGTACATTTCCATGGAGTCAAAGTGACCTTCCTTTGATTTCTTTACATCCTTTAAAAAGGAGCAGTAACTTTAAAAAAATGAATTGAGTATCCTGAATTTTAATGACAGCAGTTCATTTTTTGCTGGCAAAGGCTGAGCTTACACAGGCTGGCACATTTCTGTCAACAGTCTTTGTTCTACACTTATAATGACCAAAAATCAAAGTCAATCAGAATACAGGTGAGAAGGTGTGGAATTGAAAAAAAGAGAGCGCTTCTTTTAAGAACCATTTCAGCTGTCATTCACGTTCAGGTTAATCCAATGCTGATTCCCATCAGCCCGTTTAATCAGAACAGACGACATCTTAACCGTTTTGAGAAGTACAAACAAAAAAAACACAAATTTACAGACAAAATCTTGCCCGAAAGAGAATGTACTAAATGCTGGAAGTGACCAGGAAGTGATTGAGTAAGCGGTCAATTTGTTTGTTTTGACTGTGTAAGGTGGGTTCCCAACAAATGACAAAAGATCATTCAGTCTCAGTACATTATTCCTGCCAGAAGGAGTCGCCGCTCAGTGTTTGTGCATTACCTTATCTATGTGGGGATGCCAGTACTCGTCATGTTGGGTCTTGGCTGCTGTGCTGTTGATTCTGGAGAAGAAGGTCGGCTTGGTGAGGTACATCAGAGTCGGGTCCAAACCAAACGTCTCAGCAATAACTGCCTGTATCCGCCCACGTACATCTCTAACCATGGAAATAAAAAACAACAGACATCAAATGTCAGACTGATAGATCGGACTAAATCAGTTTATGAAGTATGATTTATGACCATAACACTGCAAGAAACTTTGGGCAACGCAAGTCAATAGGATTCTCAGCAACATTAAGCAGCTCAGTGTTTATTAACTGCCAGCTGGTGATTCAATTAACACTTCAGCTACGTACAGAGAATACTTTGTGGCAGTTTTCAATATCTTTTTAAACGGGTGCTCATGATGTTGTTTTGTCAACTTGAATACTCAAAGAGGACAAAAGATCCATACTTTCATTTTGTTGGCTAACGACCTCATTGTGTGTTATTGATCTTGCGGTGCCTCTTCATAAACTACTGAATGATGCATAAGGTATAAGACATTACGTTTATAATAATTGTAAACAAAGACGTAGCATCATTTGGTAATGGATAACTCTTAAATGTCACATATCTCCTTTTGGAGGAAACGCTTTGGAAAGTAGCATGGCTGATTTGATTTCAGGCTTCATAGTCACCTGTACAGCTCGAAGTCCTCCTGGGTAAAAACATCTCCGATCTGATCCCCAAAATACCTGCAGCCACACACCGACACACAATCAAAGACAGGCGGTTCAGCATGCAGACGGGCAAATCAGGACGCAGACAAGCCAATCAGAGAGAAACACAGGCACAGACACAGTATGGGGGAGGGGGGGGGGAGCAGAGGAGATCAGATCTATTAGCATAAATTAAGTTATGCAACATGGCACAGTGAACCATTACTCAGACGGCTGTGTCAGCCAGCCAACCAAACACACAGAGCAGATAGCTAACTCTGACTGCCTCGCATGACGAGCGACGCACTGGGGGGTGAAGGGTGTGAATGCTATAGCCGTCGCGTCCTCATTCAAATCTGCCAGATAATCCCTGAGGATCCTGTGTCAGCCACCTGCCACCGGAGGACGTTAGAGAGAAGCAGGAGGAAACGGAGGCATGAATGAATGTAAGAGGCAGTATTTGGGAGGGAGAAGGATGAAGGGGAGCAACTGATCAAAATAAAAAATGGGTTGTGCTGTCAGTGATGTATGAGGGCCGCATGGGTCAGTGTGTAGAGGACAGCTCACAAGGACCAGCATCAGTAAGATTGATGATGAGTTTTGGTTAATATGTTTCTGCAAAACGTTACACATTATGCAGGGTGTCATTTTTACACAGGCACAAAAAAAAGGCCCGGACAGAAAAACAAACGAGAGAAGACGATGTGAACTTTCTTACCTGTAGATGTTGACAAACTGTTTCCCCATCGATAACGCTCCAGAGTGCAAGTCAAGTATGGAAGCCTGGAAGAGGACAAACAGGAATTAATGACAAGTCGGTTGAAAATAAAAAAATGCACTGGGTATTGATACAGCTGTCAAAGTGCTTTGATTAATACATATTTGTGTTTTTAGGATTAAGAAGACAGGGAGAGACCTGTCAATAATGCTGACTATGTTTCTATTAGCGAATAGTGCTGGGTGTCCAAATACTTAAAGACAAATACAGGCGGTGACCCATTACAGCGACAGAGCTTCCTGAACTTCATGATGATGGAACATATACTTAAAAAAAAAAGGCTTCATTCGATGTGGACTGGAGTGGACAAAATGACTTTCTGACATTGTTGGGACAGATACTGGTGTAAACGAGACAGTCGGCTTAAGATAATGAAAATGTTTTTTTTGCAGCAGCAGCAGAGTGTCACAGACAGGCCAGAGAGGCTGAGATGCATTGAAATGCAGACAACAATGGAGCTCTATGACACAGAGGAATAACAGATTCCAGGCTGTGAGTCATCAACCAAAGACGGTTCACTTCACTTTCATGTGACGTCGTTTAGTGGAGTGTGTTGAGCCTGAGCCGATCCCAGCTGTCATTGGAGAGGCGGAGTACACAACCTGGACTGGTCTCGAGCCAATCACAGGGCCGACATAAATATTCACACTGACACCTTTTGGGCAAATTTAGAGTCATTAGTTAACCTAACGAGATGTGCTTGGAGTGTGGCAGGAAGCTGGAGTACCCGGAGGGAACCCAGGCACGCATAGGAAGAACATGCACACAGGAAGCCCTGTTAGACGGGGGATTTGAACCGGAACCTTCTCGCTGTGTAGTGACAGCGCTGACCAACATCATGTAGTCCGCTTTTAAAAATGATGATCAAAAAGTTTTCATGTGAGAAATCGGCACGTACTGTATACGGCCTTGAAAAAAATCACAAGTAGAGCGCTTGTGATGGAACATGGACCTTAAGCTCAGTTTATGTATTAACACATGCCTCCCTGTCTATTTATTCCAACAGTTGAATTTGATATACTTACACCTCCCTCTGATCCAGCCAGCGCCAGCCCTCTCTCAGCCAGCCTGTGTGTCACAGACAGAAAGCATGAATACTGATTCAGCTGCACTGCCGAGACAGAAGAGAGCGAATAGAAAAACACATGCAAGAAGAGGACGTGTTTACCTCCGGAGGACCTGAGCTTCCTCCCTTGTCACCACGCTGTCTGTGACTGCACGGCCACACTTCTGAGGGGTGCATCCTGGGAGAGAGAAAATATTAGTCAGTTTACCATGCAGTATTCTCTTGTCGGAAAAAGTTTGGGCCCCTAAGCAGCAAGAGAAAGTAGCTAGTAGAGAAACAAAGTGCAAGGTAAGGAGTACATTGGAGTTCTGCTCATTATTCCCCGCAAAATTTAGGGCTTTCGTCCAACCTCTGAGGATTAAAATGTATTGCCCGAGGCGTGAGTCTCCCGCTGTGTCCTCTTTAGATACTGGGGATGCAAGTTTGAACTTTTAGCAGCCCACATGTTTAATAAGACACATCCAATGTGTTCTTTACTTTTTGTATAAAACTGTTTCATATTTCAGACAGTAATAACAATAATTTAAAAATGTCCATCAGAAAATGAGCTGTTTAGAAATAAATAGAAATGAGAGAGCTTGGCTTAATTAAATGAAAAAAGGAGTACTAGGGCCACATGAAGGGGGAAAAAAGACATTATAGACGTACATTTTACAAAATAAAGTTGTCATTTCAGTCTGTAGTTATATCAGAGGAGCAGAAGCTGCCTGTAACATGGAGCATCTTGTGAAGTTAAACTTTACTGTAGGTTTCACAAATGAGGAAATACTTCATCTTTTGACACATCAGCATCACCTTGTCATCAGTGTCAGGACCCTGATAAGAAACTGGATACTTTGGGGGCTTATTCAAAGAAAGAACCACACTGACTTGGAGCAAAATGTCTCTTTTGTGGCAGAGGAAATGGATTTGAGGGTTTTTCCTCATTTTGTCACAGGCTGCTCTTCTGATACAACCTTTCAGAATACAGCCTAATTTAAAATGAGTTATGAATTTAATATAGTAAATTTACTACTGCTTGTAAATTTAGATTTTTTTTCTCTGTGTATGTGCGGCATGTTAGAAGGAAGGGCTTAGCAATAAATATTTTTTTTCCCCCCCGATTAATTCGTATTTGTGGTTTAGGAAAATCTAAAAAAAAATAGATTCTCTCTGTAACTTCCTCCGCTACTCCCTTTGGCCTCCCGTACTTCACATCCTCCCCCTTCTTTATTTCCTACAGAGACACATACATTAAGAATAATATGGCTGCCAGAATTAATGAAGAGTTTGTTCCCAATAAAAAAGCACAGCCTTGTCAAGTCTGGTTTGGTTTTGCAGTGTCAGGTCTGGAACAAACCGCAGTCCGCTGAAAAGTTTGTTCAAAGGCTGTTGCAACCTAAGGCAGCAGCACGACCAATTTATTTCTACATCTCAAACAGAACAGAGGCATGAAGCCCAGTGCGAGAGATGTGTCTCACCACGAGGCGCACACGACCGCCACAGCCCACAAACACCAACAGCAGCCTACAATGGTCCAATCATTTTCTAATAGCATCACGTATAACAAGAAAGGCTGGACGCAGTCACACTACACATTGCTGGAGATGTGCTGCTCGATATAAACTGTGGAAAAAGCCTGGATTGATACACATTCCTAAAATGATCGGCCCCAGGTATCTGCTACCCAGCCACAAGTTTTTGCTGAAGTTTCTCTGCCTCATTTGTAGTTTTTGCTCTACCTTAAAACTACACAGTGCACTTGTTGTGTTTGGCTTTATTGGATTGGACAGCTGAAGAGAGCAGAGAGCGGGGGATGACCTGGAGCCAAGGGCCCGAGGTCAGATTCTAACCCACGGTCGCTGCGATGAGGACTTTAGCTGCATTCATGAGCTCGTCTGATGGTCCCAGTTTCCCAGTTTGGAAGTCGTTCTTCCTACTTCAGCGTGTTCATGTGCTTTTAGTTTGAAAAGACTGAATACGAACAACATGAAAAAAAAACAGAGGGGACGCTACGAAGACAATTTTTGGAATGTCACTGTTATAAATCATATCTGAGCAAAAAGTTGATGTGCATTGTGAATTAATAAAAAAGTATCTTAACTT